CTTACCCAATTCATAGGGCTCCGGGCCACCTGTACCCAATTTGTAGGACTCAGGGGTGTAACTAACCTGATCAATTTAAGTACCCACACCCTTTCCCAATACGTAGGGCTCTGGGTATATACTACTTCTGCAGGTGTGCAGGACCTTTTACCAGTGAAAGATCCTTACACAGTAATATCCTTAACCTCTATTTATTAACAATCACCAAAACCAGAATGCACACACTACACATACAGGGCTCATCACTCTCAATAAGACAGATGAACTTTTCTTGATGGCCAGTCAGGATCAGGTCCATCTGGGGGACTGCAGTTTCTGCATGGTGTCATTGGCAGTGTTGAGGTCTGGCATCTCTGATCTTTGGGGCTGCATCCTAGAGTTGGTTCCCAAAGAACTTCCTTTTGGACCCCAGTTTATATAGTGAAATTTGAGTTCTTTTTAGCTATACCTTAACCAATCATTATACTAACATTTTACGAACCAATCCTAACATAGTGTAACAAAATTATTTAACCAATCCTACCCCATCACCTTAATTTACACCTAGCAAAATTAATTATGTAACAGACAGAAACAATTAAAGAACCAGACAGAGACCACACAGATAAACAATAGGGAAATGGGGACCATAATGACAAAACAATAAAGAAATCAGGATTTCACAACCACAACTCTCGATAAGTGATTTCTTGACAGACAGAATGCCATCAAACTAAGTTTTCTTTAACCATCTTAAGATGTGTTTCTTTATCTGGTGATAGTGGGTGCCAATAGGATCGGGGTCTCCTTTTTAACAGCCTGATACTACATTGGTTTAATGTAATGTAGATGGAATGTGAGGATGTGACTAATGGGACTCAGCTAATGGCTGCTACTTGGCTACTCTTTTAATCTGGCTGCAGACGAAGGCCTTAGACTTTAGGCCTTATGATACGGCTGCAGACAAAGGGCTTATCCTTCCATTACTCCTTCTCGTAACACAAGAACTAGGGGTCACCAAGTGAAATTAATAGGCAGCAGGTTTAAAACAAACAAAAGGAAGTATTTCTTCACACAACACACAGTCAACCTGTGGAACTCTTTGCCAGAGGATGTTGTAAAGGCCAAGACTATAACAGGGTTCAAAAAAGAACTAGATAAATTCATGGAGGATATGTCCATCAATGGCTATTAGCCAGGATGGGCAGGGATGGTGTCCCCAGCCTCTGTTTGCCAGAAGCTGGGAATGGGTGACAGGAGATGGATCACTTGATGATTACCTGTTCTGTTCATTCCCTCTGGGGCACCTGGTCTGGAGGTATATTGTCACCAAATTTGAAATAATGTGTGTGAGGTTAAAGTCACAGAGCTCAGCAACCAGTTGTGCTGTGGCATCATCAGGGATACTGTTCCTGACAGCTTGTATTCCATCTTTGTGGGGGATGTTTGTGTAGAGAGCCTCTACATCCATGGTGGCTAGGATGGGGTTTTCTGGAAGATCATCAATGCATTGTAGTTTTCTCAGAAAATCAGTGGTGTCACAGAGATAGCTGGGAGTGCTGGTGGCGTAGGGTCTGAGTAGAGAGTCCACATATCCAGACAGTCCTTCAGTGAGAGTGCCAATGCCCGAGATGATGGGGCATCCATGATTTCCGGGTTTCACTGAAGGACAGTCCGGATATGTGACGGTCACATTAACACCACCCTATACCGAAACCCACCGACTGCTATGCCTACCTTCATGCCTCCAGCTTCCATCCCGGACACACCACATGATCCATTGTCTACAGCCAAGCACTGAGGTACAACCGCATTTGCTCCAACCCCTCAGAGAGAGACCAACACCTACAAGATCTTCACCAAGCATTCTCAAAACTACGATACCCGCATGAGGAAATAAGGAAACAGATCAACAGAGCCAGACGTGTACCCAGAAGCCTCCTGCTGCAAGACAAGCCCAAGAAAGAAACCAACAGAACTCCACTGGCCATCACATACAGTCCTCAGCTAAAACCTCTCCAATGCATCATCAGTGATCTACAACCCATCCTGGACAACGATCCCTCACTTTCACCGGCCTTGGGAGGCAGGCCAGTCCTCGCCCACAGACAACCCGCCAACCTGAAGCATATTCTCACCAGCAACGACACACCGCACCATAGTAACTCTAACTCAGGAACCAATCCCTGTAACAAACCTCGATGCCAACTCTGCCCACATATCTACACCAGCGACACCATCACAGGACCTAACCAGATCAGCCACACCATCACCGGTGCATTCACCTGCACGTCCACCAATGTAATATACACCGACATGTGCCAGCAATGCCCCTCTGCTATGTACATCAGCCAAACTGGACAGTCCCTGCGTAAAAGGATAAATGGACACAAATCAGATATTAGGAATGGCAATATACAAAAACCTGAAGGAGAACACTTCAACCTCGCTGGACACACAATAGCAGATTTAAAGGTAGCCATCCTGCAACAAAATAACTTCAGGACCAGACTTCAAAGAGAAACTACTGAGCTTCAGTTCATTTGCAAATCTGACACCATCAGCTCAGGATTAAACAAAGACTGTGACTGGCTCGCCAATGACAAAAGCAGTTTCTCCTCCCTTGGTGTTCACACCTCAACTGCTAGAAGAGGGCCTCATCCCATAACTAGCCTCGTTATCCCTAGCCTGATTCTTGCTTGCGTATTTATACCTGCCTCTGGAAATTTCCACTACATGCATCCAATGAAGTGGGTATTCACCCACGACAGCTTATGCTCCAATACGTCTGTTAGTCTACAAGGTGTCACAGGACTCTTTGCCGATCTTCCAACATGTTACCCATTCCCTTAGCTTCGTTCGATCGCTCTGAAGTTTCTCACAGTCCTGTCTGGTCTTGACTAACCTAAATAATTATGTTTGCAGTGTTGTTGTAGCCGTGTTGGTCCCAGGATATTAGAGAGACAAGGTGGGTGAGGTAACAGCTTTTAAAGGACCAACTTCTGTTGGCAAAAGAGACGAGCTTTCGAGCTACATGGGAGAGCTCTGCGTAACTTGAGACTTGTCTCTCTCAGCAATAGAAAAGATACTACCTCACCCACCCACCTTGTCTCTATATATATACCTTTGTCATATGCAAATTTTGCTACCTTTCTGCTCACCCCCTCTTCCAGGTCATTGATAAATATATTAAACAACCCCAGGCCTAGCACATAACCTGAGGGCACCCCCCTGTTAGCCTTTTGCCATGTTGAAAATTGACCCAGTATCCCTACTTTGTTTTCTGTCTCTTGGCCAGTTTCTAGTCCATGGCAATACTTGGTCTCTTGCCCCATCATTACTTTCCTTTGTAACCTCTGGTGAGGGACTCTGTGAAAGGCTTTTGAAAGTCCCACTGTGGTGACCCAGCTAGGCTAGGCTAAGCTAACTGTGAGGAGAGGCAGAGGCAAACCAAGACAAAAAGAATAATTGTAAATGTTTAGAACTTTATGAAGGAAAACCCCATCATTTTACCAGGAGCATAAATAATATCAAACATTACCAAAGACTTCCTACGTAATAAACTATAAGTTACCAACTCATTAACCTTTGTGAGCTTGTACATACTGTGTGTGCAGTTAGTACCAAATGCATTGTTGTTAACAATAACAAACAAGATTACTTAACAATACACTGAGTCACTTTAGAGAAAAATCAACTTTTCCTCTTCTTGGCTGTAAGTCCAGTTCCATTCTTGCTGTCCTGTTCTTTGCTTCTCTTGTGTTTGAAGTGCTCCTTAGATTTGATGTTCCTGTGGCTGTACCTCTTTTCAACGAGTTTATCCACAAGTGGTGTTTCTTCACCTAATTTGGCTTTCACTTGTCTGTCAATAGATGTTCAAATTGTCATTCCCTCTGTTCATTTACTCTAGGCCCTTTGTGAGTGGGCTTCTCATTTACTGTTTTCAGGATCTGTTTTCATCTAACATAGCTTTTGGATCAATTCCCTTTTTCAACAACTATATTTCCTTTCATTCCTCTCCCCCCCAGTACTCTCTCTCTCTGGTATTTCTGTAGATTTTATTTCCCTCTACTTCCCTTCTCTTACATATCCAGGTCTGTTGTTTTTTCTGCTTCTCCTGAACTGAAACCTTTCCTATTTTCCTTCGTTCCTCCTTCTCATCCCCTACTTTCATTCTCCTGCTCTGCTTTGATTCATCTACTAGCTCACCTTCTCTAACAGCGTTTTCCAACTGCCCCTTCAGGTGAATGGTGAATTGTGAGCCCCGAGCTCAAGCTGCCCTCTCGCTGGCCGTCTCTCCCCCCAGGACAGCATTCTGTGCTGCGGCATCGCAACTGCAGCAGGTGTTAGTGCCAGGGTGAGGGTTACTACACCATGACGCTGTCAGCTGGTTCTCTTTTATTCAGTGCAGCCAAATAATTCAAGCAAGGCATGGTTTTCCTTTGCAGAAGCCATGCTGGGACGTCCCTGTCAAATCACAGTTGTCTGTTTTATAATTCTATTTTTAATTTTGGTTTCAATCAACTTAATCAAACGGAGAGTCTCTTTTAAACATAGCTCCAACAGTTTCTGCCCCCAGAACAGTAGCTGATTTTACTGAGATTGTATATTTTTGCTCACAGCTCAGCCTCTCCACTCTATATGTCCTTCAGGATTATTAGATGGAACCATTTGGGCCAGGAGACTTACTGTTCTGTAATTTATCAGTGTTTTTAGCATCTTTCTTTTGCCCTTCAGTCTGTGACAAAATTTCATCTTCATTACCTGAAAAGCGTAGGCATCCTCCATCAGCCTCTGTGGTGAAGGCTGAGCAGAGAGATCGTTTCATTTCTCTGAAATGTCCTTATCCTCCTTCACTGTTCCCTTTATGCATTCTTTCTGGAACTGAGTAGGCTGCGTAAGCAGCTTCCATTCTGAGTCAAAAGATTTTAATTGGTTTACTCTTTGCTATGGGATCTTATTGAATAGCCTCTTTTTCCTTTTGTCATATATTTACTCATTTCTCTTTGCTTTACTTTTAGAGACACTGCAGGGTGAACTCAGTAAGTTCTCTTTTATTCCTAATATAAACCTTGCTACAAAATTGTCTCCTATTCAGAGTTTCAGTTTTCAGGGGAGGTCTCATCTCTCTGCCTGTGTTTGGTTTCAGAGTGGAGAAGAGACGTACTAAATGCAGGTAAATAAATATGCATTTCCCTAATCAACAGTTATCATGTAGATAATATATTTTTCTCTTATTCTAAACATCGTTAGAGATTGTTTTCTATTCAGCAAGTCTGTGTTCAGGGGAATTCTCATCTCTCTCTATTTGCTTGATTTCAGGTTGGGAGAAAGCCCGACAATATGCAGGTAACTGTGCTGTAAACTCCGCTGAAATGTGATCTGTCAAAACCTCACCAGCCCCTGAGAGCACTCTGCTCCTTTTCTTTGGAAAAGTGCTGAATAACTAGAGACTGTTTCCCCTCGGCTTCACCTTCCCAGTATGGTATCTGGGTCGTGCCTGATAGACGTTATCTCACCTAACCTTAATAGGCATTAAACTGCTCAAATCTCCCCTCCCAACATCAGGGTTTTCATGCTCATACAAGTCTTTAACCTGCAATTTCCTTCTACAATACCAAGTGTGAGCATCGCTGTTAACGCACTGAATGGCTCAGAGGTCAGAATGGACCAGCTGGCTCAGGGGGCAGTGAGGGCAGCTGGGGTCTTTCACTCCTCAGTCACCGATCTCAGCCCAGGCTCAGAGTCCAGTTCCCAGTGGACAGGAGCTCACGTCGTAACTCACATTAATGGCAGCCTCACCAGCCATCTCCGCAGGGAGGCCAAGGCCTGGACAGGCTGCAGAGACAATTTCTTCCCAGGCAGAGATTCCAGCAGGTGTCAGGGCTGAGCCATGTTGGCAGGAGAGTGGGGGGCTCATACGGCCGCTGTGACGTCTTTGTACCCTCGATACCCAGAGCTCCAGCAGCCGGGGTGTAACCCCATTTGTACCCCCAGCACTGAACTCACTGACACTGTCCCAAGGCCTCCTCTCCTCCTGGGCTGGGAGGGGGGTGAGTACCAGCCCCGGCCCCTCATCCCAGGGGCACATCTGTGCATTTGCCAGGTGCAAAGAGCTCTCCAGGTGGAGACACTCTCACACTGACTCAGGAATCAGTCTGGGAGGCCCCATTGCCCAGGAGGGGTGAAGGGAGGGACCCTGGGGGTGAAGGGAGGGGCCCTGGGGCTGCTGTTCCTCATTCCAGAAAGTGGGTGAAGGGGACGTGGACACGGACAATGTCCCTGCTTGCGCTGTGAGGGGCAGACCTGGCTCCACCCGGGCTTCAGAGCCTGAGCTCCAGCCTGAGTGTGAACATCTACCCGGCTATTTTTACCGCCACAGAGGGAGCCCCACAAGCCTGAATCTGTCGACCTGGCTCTGGGACTCGCTGCTGCAGGCTGTGTAGACAAACCCAAAGTGTCTCCAGAGTCTGGGTGTGAAAGTTTCCTAAGTGTCTGACCCAGGACCGGTTAATGAAAGCGAGGTGGATGGCTGAGGGAAGTAGTTACATGGAGACACCTGAGCCCCTGGGGCTCTGAGACAGTCCCTGTGACCATTATTTGCTCTGGGAGACGCCCAGGTGCAGCGGTAGAGGGTCTGTGCCACTGGCAGCGTCCATGGGACAAATCGCTCTGGGAAGAGTTCAGGAGCCGAGTCTCCATTTTCACCCTGATTTTGGGGGGTGAGATTAGGAGTCCAGGGGGAATTTTTCAATCAAATTTAACGGCAGTTCTGGAGTGTTTCATAGTTGATGTCTTGAGTCTGACCTGCCTGTACCTGTGCGTTTCTGGGGATGTTGACAGTCACTCACTGAGAGTCACTGGGATTTGGGCTCCTAAATTGTTCTGACAGATTTCAAGTGGAGCTGGGTGAAATGTTTTGGGTTGGCTGAATTCATGTCGAGTTTGCTGAAGTTTCAATGAACAGAAGAAGGTGCCACCACTTCCCTTCTAGCCTTGAGCCCAGTGGTTGGGCCCTTAACTGGGAGCCCCAGGTTCAATCCCCCCCTCGTGTGATGTGGGACAGGAATTGGAATGTGGGCCTCCTCCCCCTCAGGTGAGGGCTGGAACCGCTGGGCTCCAGGTGTCTGAGGTGGGGCTCCCTCAATCTATCCTGCCAAAGATGCCCCCTGTGTATAAACAATGCCTTGGGCACTGGGCCAGAGCGTGGGAGCGAGACTGACTCTGCAGCCCAGTGGGTCGGGCCCCACCTGGAAGCCCAGAGTCCAGCTCCTCTGCTCCAGTGACCCTGTAATTACTGATTCATAACCCCAGTGACGGGAAGGGTTACGGGAGGGGACACACCAGTGTCTCAGGTCGTGTCTGCCAGGGTTTTCACTCACCGACGAAATTGCCCTGGTGCAAGCCCAAGCTGCGAGGCACCCAGTGCAGCTTATCCCAGATGGATGGAGCAGTAAGTTGGAAAATGCCCCCTCCCCTCCCCTCCAAACTGTCCCGGCCTCATGAGCAACAGCCCAATAAGTACGCATTTACCTCACCCCAGAATCCCCCACTACACTGCCCCCTCATAGTGAGCCCAGCCCAGACGCACTGCCCATGCCCTGGGGGAGCGGCTGGGCTGGGTAAAGGGAGGGGCTGCCTGTGGGGTTTGTCTGGCCGGAAGGTGGTGCCCCTAGGGCCAGCATGGAGAGTCCCAGCTGCACCCCCTGGGACAGGGCTGCCTGGATAGTGTGTGTGGGGATGGCATATACCTGATCTTAGTGACAAACCAACCACACATAGAATCAGACTATTAGGGTTGGAAGAGGCTTCGGTAGGTCATCTAGTCCGATCCTCTGCTCAAAGCAGGACCAACACCAACTAAATCATCAAAGCCAGGGCTTTGTCAAGCCTGACCTTAAAAACCTCTAAGGATGGAGATTCCACCACCTCCCTAGGTAACCCATTCCAGTGCTTCACCACCCTCCTAGTGAAATAGTGTTTCCTAATATCCAACCTAGACCTCCTCTACTGCAACTTGAGACCACTGCTTCTTGCTCTGTCATCTGCCACCACTGAGAACAGCCTAGCTCCATCCTCTTTGGAATCCCCCATCAGGTAGTTGAAGTCTGCTGTGAAATCCCCCCTCACTCTTCTCTAGACTAGATAACTGCAGTTCCCCCAGCCTTTCCTCGTAAGTCATGTGCCCCAGCCCCTTAATCATTTTCGTTGCCCTCTGCTGGACTCTCCAGTTTGTCCACATCCCTTCTGTAGTGGGGGGACCAAAACTGGATGCAGTACTTCAGGTGTGGCCTCATCAGTGCCGAATAGAGGGAAATAATCACTTCCCTCTATCTGCTGGCAGTGCTCCTATTAATACAGCCCAATATGCTGTTGGCCTTCTTGACAATGAGGGCACACTGCTGACTCATATCCAGTTTCTTGTCTACTGTAATCCCCAGGTCCTTTTCTGCAGAACTGCTGCTTAGCCAGTCAGTCCCCAGTCTGTAGCAGTGCGTGGGATTCTTCCTTCCTAAGTGCAGGACTCTGCACTTGTCTTCGTTGAAACTCATCAGATTTCTTTTGGCCCAATCCTCCAATTTGTCTAGGTCACTCTGGACCTTATACCTACCCTCCAGTATATCTACCTCTCCCCCAAGCTGAGTGTCATCTGCGAACTTGCTGAGGGTGCAATTCATCCCATCATTGAGATAATTAATAAAGATGCTGAATAAAACCAGCCCCAGGACCGACCCCTGGGGCACTCCGCTTGATACCGGCTGCCAACTAGACATGGAGTCGTTGATCACTACCCATTGAGCCGGACAATCTAGCCAGCTTTCTATCCACCTTATAGTCCATTCATCCAATCCATACTTTTTTAACTTGCTGGCAAGAATACTGTTGGAGGCCATATGAAAAGCTATGCTAAAGTCAAGATGTATCACATCCACCACTTTTTCCATATCCACAGAGCCAGTTATCTCATCATAGAAGGCAATCAGGTTGGTCAGGCATGACTTGCCCTGGGTGAATCCATGTTGACTGTTCCTGATCGCCTTCCTCTCCTCCAAGTGCTTCAAAATGGAATCCTTGAGGACCTGCTCCATGATTTTGCCGGGGACTGAAGTGAGGCTGACCAGTCTGTAGTTCTCTGGGTTCTCTTCCTTCCCTCTTTTAAATATGGGCACTATATTTACCTTTTTCCAATCATCCAGGACCTCCCCCCGATCGCCACGAATTTTCAAAGATGATGGCCAATGGCTCTGCAATCACATCAGCCAACTCCCTCAGCACCCTTGGATGCATTAGATCTGGACCCATGGACTACTGCACATCCAGCTTTTCTAAATAGTCCTTAATCAGTTCTTTCACCACTGAGGGCTGCTCACCTACTCCCCATGCTGTGTTGCCCAGTGCAGTAGTCTGGGAGCTGACCTTGTCTGTGAAGACCAAGGCAAAAAAAGCATTGAGTACTTCAGCTTCTTCCACATCCTCTGTCACTATGTTGCCTCCCCCATTCATTAAGGGCCCTACGCTTTCCCTGACTTTCTTCTTGTAACTAACATACCTGTAGAAACCCTTCTTGTTACCCTTCACATTCCTTGCTAGCTGCAACTCCAATTGTGCCTTGGCCTTTCTGATTACACCCCTGCATGCTCTAGCAATATTTTTATACTCCTCCCTAATCATCTGTCCAAATTTCCACTTCTTGTCAGCTTCCTTTTTGATTTTAAGCTCACCGAAGATTTCACTTTTAAGCCAAGCTGGTCGCCTGCCATATTTGCTATTCTTTCTGCACTTCGGGATGGTTTTTATCCTGTGCCCTCAATAAGGCTTCTTTAAAATATAGCCAGCTCTCCTGGACTTCTTGCCCCCTCATATTAGCTTCCTGGGGGATCCTGCCCATTAGTTCCCTAAGGGAATCAAAGTCTGCTTTTCTGAAGTTTAGGGTCCGTATTTTGCTACTCTCCTTTCTTCCTTTTTTCAGGATCCTGAACTCAACCACCTCATGGTCACTGCTGCCTAGGTTGCCACCCACTTATACTTCCCCTACCAATTCTTCCCTGTTTGTAAGCAGCAGATCAAGAGGAGCATGGCCCCTAGTCGGTTCCTCCAGCACTTGTACCAGGACGTTGTCCCCAAGACTCTTCAAAAACTTCCTGAATTGTCTGTGCATTGCTGTATTGCTCTCCCAGCAGATGTCAGGGTGATTGAAGTCCCCCATTAGAACCAGGGCCTGTGATCTGGAAACTTCAGTTAGTTGTCCGAAGAAAGCCTTGTCTACCGCATCCTTCTGGTCCCGTGGTCTATAGCACACACCCACCACGACATCGCCCTTGTTGCTCTCGCCTCTAAACTTAACCCAAAGACTCTCAACAGGCTTTTCTCCAGTTTCATACTGGAGCTCTGAGCAATCATACCACTCTCTTATAAACAGTGCAATTCCTCCACCTTTCCTCCCATACCTGCCCTTCCTGAACAGTTTATACCCATCCATGACAGTGCTCCAGTCATGTGAACTGCCCCACCAAGTGTCTGTTATTCCAATCACATCATAGTTCCTTGATTGTGCCAGGACTTCCAATTCTTCCTGCTTGTTTCCCAGGCTTTTTGCGTTCATGTACATGCACCTAAGATAACTAGCTGATTGCCCTGCTTTCTCAGTATGAATCAGGAGGCTTCCCGTCTTGAACCCTTCTCCTTGTGTTTCCTCCCGGTAGCTCATTCCCCCACTTACCTCTGGGCTTAGGTGTCTCACTCGGTTAGCTAGCCTGCCTGTGAAGATGCTCTTCCCTCTCTTTGTTGGGTGGATCCCATCTCTTCCTAGCCATCCTCCTTCCTGGAAGAACATCCCATGATCGAAGAATCCAAAGTCCTCACTCCGACACCACCTGCGTAACCACGCACTCACCTCCACAATTCGACAGTCCCTACCTAGGCCTTTTCATTCAACAGGGAGGATGGACGAGAACATGACTTGCTCCTCAATCTCCTTTAGCCTTCTTCCCAGAGCCACATAGTCTGCAGTGATCCGCTCAAGGTCATTCTTGGCAGTAGGATTGGTGCCCACCAATGATACTGCCTGGAGAAGTAGGAAGAGGTAGCAGTCCGAGGTCTTGATCAGTCTCAGCAAACACTCCGTCACATCTTGGATTCTCCTCACGCCCCTCTGACCCCATCACCCATGACATGGCCCAAAAGCAATAGAGATTCCCTGGGACCTGCCTCTCCCTCACCCCTCTCTGGCTCCTGCCTCTCCCTTACTCTTCCCTCACCCCTGTGCCCACCTGGCCCCTGCCTCTATCCTCACCTCTCCCCCTTGTCCCTTCCCTTCTTCTCACTCCCTTTCTGTTCCCCTGGGTCCCTCTGCCCCTGCCTTGCCTCCCTGGCTCATGCCCCTGCCCTCCACCCACCTCTGCCCCACTGGATCCCCCCCTTTGCCCCCTGCTCTCCTGGCACCTGCCCCTCTTGCCCAAACATCCTCTGCACCCTGGAGCCCACCCATCACTTCACACCCCTTCTAACACTTGGTATCCACCTCTCCCCTTTCCCCCTCTGCTGCCATGTCTGCCCCCCAGAGCCTGACACTGCCCTCACCCCCTCTACCCCCTGATGCCCTCCCACCCCTCACCCTCCTCTGCTGTCCTGGTTCCCACCCTTCTCACTCCCCTCACCCCACCTGGCACCAGCCCCTCTCCCCAATCTCGGCCCCCTGTACCCATCCCTCCTCTATCCCCACTCTGACCTTCTGGCTCCTGCCCCTCCCCAATTCCCTCTCCCTAACGCTTCCCTCTACCCACCTGCCCTGCCTCTCGCTCCTTGCCCCTCTCTGCCCCCTGGTGCTTGTCCCTCTTTCGTCTGCCCTCCCTGTGTCTGCACTTCTGCTCAACCCCCTCAATCCCCCTAGCACCTACCCTTTCCTTTACCCCCCCCCTCACACCCTCCTGGTGCCGACCCCCTTCCCTCACTCCCCCTGGCCCCCAACACCTGCCTCTCCACTTGCCCCCCTTCTCCCCAGTGCCTACCCTCTCTGCCCCACTGACCGCACTCTCCTCAAGCCCCTCTGCCCCCATCACACATGATTTACCCCACCCCTTGCCTTCCTTGTGCCCCCCCCCCCGGCACACACTCCTTCCCACCCCCTTTTGTCTGCCCCTTCCTTTTCTCCCTTCTGTCTCCCGGCACCTGCCCCCCCCCCCAACTCTCTGGCACCCACCTCTTCCCTTGCCCACCTCTGCCCCCAGTACCTGCCCCTCTTCTTTCCCCTTGTTCTCCTTGGCACCTGCCCCATTCCATGCTGCAATTGCTGCCTGTCCATCTGCTCTCCCTCCTCTGTCCCCTGGCTTTCACCCCCTCCTTGTGCCCCTCTAGCCCCCTGGCACCCACCCTTCCCAGGCCCTCCCACCCACTGATGACCACACCTCATCCCCACCCCATATGTTCCTGGTGCCTTCCCCATCACATGCCCCACCACTGTCCCCCACTCATTTGTCTCTCCCGCACTCTGCCACCCGGTGCCTGCCCCTTCCTTCTCCCTCCCTGGCCCCCACCTCTCCCCTAGGCACAAGCCACTTCCCTCACCCCCCCACCCCCTGGGGCCTGCCCCTTCCCTCACACACCCCCACTGCCACCTTCCCTTTAGTTCTCCCCCATGCCCTTCCCCTCATCCTCTGCATCCCTGAAACCTGCACCCCTCACCCCCATCTAATCCCCTCATGTCAGCCCCTCTGTTCACTCCTCCTCTGCCCCCCTGAGACCCATCTCTACCATTGCCTCCATCTGCCTCCCTGGAGCCCACCCTTTCCTATGCCCCCTCTGCCTGCCTGGTGCAAGTCCCTTCCCTCGCCCCCCTTTGGGCCTCCTGGTATCTGCCTTTCCCCTCACCCTACCTCTGTTCCACTTGTGCCCACCCCTCCCTTCACCCTCTCCTAACCTCTGGTTCCCACCCCTCCCCCTCATGTTCCCTCTTTCCCCCAGGTGCCCACATCTCCACACCCCTCTGCCCCCCTAGGGCCCACTCTTCTCTACACTCCTCTCTCTGTCCCCCTGTGCTCACCTGTTCCCTTGCCCCCACTCTGCCCCCTGGTGTTCACCCCCTCCTCTCTCCCCCTCCTTCCATCTGCCCCTCTGCTTAATCCGCTCCCCCCATCCGTCCTGGTGACTACTCCTTCCCTCCCCAGCTCTGTCCTCCTGGCACCCACCCTTCATGCCCCTCTCCCCCTTAATAACTGCCCTTTCCCTCACTGCCCTGTTGCCCCCTGGGGTCTCCGCCCACCCTCTGCCCCCCAATACCCCTCTGGCACCTGCCGTACCCTCACCCCTCTTTATCCCCTTCTCACATGTGTCTCCTTTTCCCCTGGTGCCAGCCCCTCCTTCTACTACCCCTCTGCTTCCCTAGTGCCTGCCCCTCTGTTCACCCCTTGCGTCTCCTGGTGTAAGCCCCTTCCCTCTGTCCCCCAGTGCCCGCCCCCTTTCCTGACCCCCCTTTGGACTCCTGGTGCCCACCTCTCATCTTGTTTCTCTCTTTTCTTGGCCCCTCACTCATACTCTACACCCCTCGTACCTGCCCCTTGTCATCCCGCTTAGCCCCCCACCAGTGCCTGCCCCTCCCATCACCCCACTCTGCCCCTAGCACATGCTCCTCTCCTCCTCCCCCTTCCCCCAGAAGTCCCCTGGTACCTGCCTCTCCTCCTCTTGCTCTCCTCTGCCTACTGGTGACACTGTCCCTGCCCTAGCCAGCCCCTCTTCCCCCAGGCTCCTGCCTCACTCTGTCCCCGTGGTGCCTGCCCATTCCCTCCCCCCACACTCATGGTCCTGACACCTGCCCCACTCTTCATCCCTCCACCCCCTGGCACCAGTCCCTCCCTTTGATTACCCCGTGTCCTATTGGAGCTTCCCCCATTCTCTCACATCCCTCTGCCCCTGGTGTCTGCCCCTTTCCTTGCTTCCCTGTGCCCCCTGGGGTCTGTCCCCTTCTTCCCTGTGCCCACCTCTCCCCTCAACCCCTGCATCCCCCTGGAACCTGCCCTTCCCTTCACCCCCCTCCATTCCCCTGGTACCCGCTCCTCCCCTCACATCTCCCTAGGGTCTGTCCCCTTCTTCTTCCCTGGTGCCTCCCCCACCCCCTGCAGCCCCATGGAACCTGCCTTCATCCCTCTCTGTCTTCGTGCCCATCCCTTCCCTTGTCACCCCATTGCCCTTGTGCCTGCCCCTCCCCTATGTCCCTCCCTCCACCCCCTTTGCTCCCGTCACCACCCCCTCCCCTTTCCTCTCCCAGCATCAGTCTGTCCCCTCCCCTGCCTCCACTGACACCTCACCCCACGCCCTCATTGTCTCCTCACAGGCAGACGGGCCCTGACTCCCCTCAGGCAACAACCCTGCACCCCGCCAGTGATTAACGGGGACAAAATGTTATGCTTATACGAAGCATATGGAATTTTGAAAAAGGGGATAAGGCAATATGCCAAGTTTATTGAGTACAGTTTAGGCATTAAAATCAGCATATGCGCGCGCGCACACACACACACACACACTCACTCACTCTCGCTCTCTCTCTTTCTGCAGCTGGATTTTATAGTTACCAGTCCTAAGTGTTGCTCAGTCAGTTCCAGTGGCGAGCTGAAACTGCACGTGAGGAAGGGGAGCTGGGCCTCTATCGAACACATTCGAAGCTGCAGTGTTGATGCAGAACGAAGCCAAAGTCCCATGGCAATACATCCTTCTTTTATAGTAATAAGTTCCCATACAAGTCTATGGCACATTGGAGTTGTTAGTCAAGGTTGCTCCCAATCAGGCTGTTACTGGGAGTATCCACAGCTGTTTCTTATTTCATTCCTCTGGCTCCACACTTTATCTTGTTCTTGGGGCATATGCCTTTGCTTTAGGGTCATCAGTCTGCCATCCGGGTAATTCCTCTCAATTTCTCCACTCCCTTCCCACCAATCTGGCCCATCAGTACTGGTCACTGTTAGCATGCCATACATTCTTCACTCACACACAAAACCATAAATAATTTCAAAAGCAAGACTTGCAGCCATAACACTTCTATTCTTCTAAAAACAATCAATAACACGTAAAGCAAAGAATAAAACCAAAACAATTTCTTCTTACTAATTCAAGGCTAACAAAATAAGCAAAATGGAGGACAATTTACTCAAGAAAATTTCTCCCCATTTGGCTTTTGGCCTACAACAGGTTAATTTCCCTTCAATCCCAGTGACCTGCCCCCGGCACTGACTCTGTGACTCTCTCCCCAGTGGATGTGACTCTGGATCCAGACACGGCTCATCCCAAACTCGTCCTCTCTGAGGATCGGAAACATGTGAAACGCGGAGACACACGCCAGGATCTGCCTGACAATCCTGAGAGATTTCATCATTGTTCGTGTGTCCTGGGAGCGGAAAGGTTCATGGGCGGGAGGTGTTACTGGGAGGTGGAGGTGGGAGACAAGACAAGATGGACTCTGGGGGTTTGTAGGGAATCTGTGAGCAGGAAGGGGAAGGTCACATACACACCTGAGGATGGATACTGGGCTGTGCGGCAGAGGGATGGGGAATACAAGGCCCTCCCCGTCCCTTGGATCCCCCTCCCCGTGAGTATAAGGCCAAGACGGGTGGGGATTTTCCTGGACTATGACGCAGGCGAGGTCTCATTTTACAATGTGACTGACGGGTCCCATCTCTTCACTTTCACTGGCACCTTTTCCGGGACGCTCCGCCCTTATTTCAATCCTGGTCTCAACGCTGGAGGTAAAAACGCAGCTCCCCTGATTATCTGCCCGGTCCCAGCTCAGGCCGGAGGGAATCTTGGTCCCTGACAGTGATACCAACAGCACAGACTGTCCCCTCCCAGTGCTGCTGCTCTCCCCAACCCCAGCAATAGAGGCCAGTTACTGCAGGGAACTGGACTTTTTGTGCTGACCGGATGCTGCCAGTTTCCCTTTTCAACTGGAGGTTCCAGTCGAAAACCGGACACCTGGCAACCCCCAGCCCTCACCTTGCCCCGTCCCCTGCCCCAGGGGTAGCAGATGGTGGTGGATGGGGGTCATTCACTCCTGTCAGAATTTTCCACCCCTGTGAAATCTCAGTGTAAAATATGAAAGAAAAAAGATTATTCTAATTTAGAAAATTTTATAACAAGGTATAAATAAAAGAATATTTTCATTTACATTTCAAAGGTATTTCAAAAGCAAGCATCTAAACATATTTTTAGAAATGGAATTATTTACATTTATTTTTTGATTCTTCCCTCAAATCTATATTGAAGTTTAACTTCTCTAACTAACGTCATTTGTATTTCAACTGTGGAATTTCAAGAAATCCAAAATATGTATCTGTCATAAATATAAAGGGGGAATGGTAACAACTTTTATGTATGCAGTAATATAAAATCCCTCCTGGCCAGAGGTACAGAATCATTTACCTGTGGGGGGTTAAGAAGCTCAAATAACCTAGTTGCCACCTGACCAGAAGGACCAATGGGGAAAGAAGATACTTTCAAATCGGGGGGCGGAAGGTTTTGTTGTGCTCTTTGTTGGTTGTTCTCTCTCAGACAGAGAGGGACGAGGGCATGAAAATCCATCTCCTAAAGACATTCCTGAAACGAGCCTCTAAGATTACAAAAATTGTAAGTAAAGCAAGGAAAGGCGTTAGATTATCTTTTGTTTTAGCTTGTGAATTTTCCCTATGCTAAGAGGGAGTTTTATTCCTGTTTTTTGTAACTTTGAAGCTAAGCCTACAGGGGAATTCTCTGTGTTTTAAATCTTTTTATTTACCCTGTAAAGTTACCTTCCATCCTGATTTTGCAGGTGTGATTATTTTACTTTGTTTTTTAAATAAAAATCTTCTTTTAAGAACCTGATTGATTTTCAGTGTCCTAAAAGCCCAAGGGTTTGGCTTGGGCTCACATTGTACCAATTGGTGAGGATATTATTCTCAAGCCTCCCCAGGAAAGGGGGTGAAGGGACTTGGGATATTTTGGGGAAATACGAACACCAAGTGGCCCTTTTCCTAAATCTTTGTCTAAATCACTTGGTGGTGGCAGCAATACAGTCCAAGGACAAGGAAAGGAATTTGTGCCTTGGGGAAGTTAAACCTAAGATGGTGGAATATAAGATTAGGGGATCTTTCATGCAGCTCCCCACATCTGTACCCCAGAGTTCAGAGTGGGAAGGGAACCCTGACTGTATCTTAACAAAATAAACTATTAAATTGTCAGACTGGGTTGTTCAGTTGTAAAGTACATGTTTCATAAACATCACAACTACACGCATGTGCAGCTGCTCTCTCTCTCTCTTCCTCTCTCTTTATTGTCTTGACTGGTTCTCTCTGGAAGGCAGGACACATACACCCACCTCCTGCACTACACCTTTGAAAATTTTTAGGTAGAAAAAATGATGGAATTAATTAAGCAAATTATTTAAATTAACTCGCACAAGATTATATAATGTTCTTTGAACTTGTCAGCATTAATTCATGTGATTTTTAACTTTCTAGCTACATATAATCAGTAATCAAGATATGACCCTTGCTTTCTTTTTCTCACAGCAATTAACAAAACACGGTCCCCAACCTCAAATGCTATCTTCCCATAGATAGAAATCTCTTCTACAATCTCCATTTTTTTTAGTTCATTTTTCTTTAGAAGTATTATTTTCAGGCAATGTACTGTCAGTGTCCACTGTTGATTTCAGAGTACTGCCAGGCACTTCATGTTCTTGGTTATAAGGACACAACACATGTAGTTTGATACAGAAATAGAGAAAGGGTTGTATTCCTTTACTGAATCATCACAAATTAACTTAATTGTATTGAAGACTCTGGCACATAATGACACCCAACATGAAATTTGGTGAAGCTTTATTGGGAAACCTTTTTTCTCGGCCACAAATCAGTCGAAAGGGTGATGTTTTAGTTGTCTTGTGAGGTTTAGAGTACAAAGAAAAGAAAGTTGCTCCAGGAAATTCATCACAATTCCTCTGGGTTCTGTCCACCACCTTCTGGAATGCTCTATACAAATAGTGACCAATTGGTCCAATTCCTTGATGTTAGCGATCGAACCTAATTTCTGGAAGAGCTGGCTGAGCAGCGTATGAGGGGAGGCACATCACATGGCATTGCTAGGACCACTTTTTGTTTTAAACGTGACGCATTATGAACATTTTCAATGTCATCGTTCAGTTTTGAAGATTTATTCACAATACGCCATCCATGGCAGAGGGCCCTAAACTTACGTTGATTATTTGAAAATAAATACCCTCATGTTATCTTGTGATGGATTCATCTGTGTTTTTATCAAGTCTGCTGCTGTCTAGGTGGCATGGTCTGCTGAAGCTCTGTGTCACCCGGCCATGATTGTGTATTTGACCATATAGTGAAAATATCACCAAATGTAAACTGTTACCTCGTTATTCAATTCCGAACCTAGATCTGCCAGTATCTGCTCTGGACAGCCATGTTAATATATAATTTCACATGTCTTCTTCCACCTCATGTGCTTTCATAGTTCTAAGTGGAAATTCTTCTACCCATTTTGAAAAATCATCTGTAGCTCTCAGTACATACTGGTATCGCTTCTGGGATACTGGATAGAGCCCGATTAAATCTGCTCTCAGCAATTCCCAGGTTTTAACAACCTATGTGCAAGAACACAGGCTAGAGTTCTCATTTGGATCTTTCCTATGACATTTTTATTATAATCCCATCTATAGTAAGCAAAGTAAACATTATAATGTGGTTTCTATAACAGTTGATGTCTCCACACAGTCAGAATCTAACTTTTGGTGTTTTTCAGAAGTAAATAAATACACGACAAATTTCTGCAACTGAGAACTTGCATAACTACACCTTGCAGGGTCGGCGAGTTATATGGGCCCGTGCTGCTCATGCTCCAGCAATATTCAGGGCCTGGGAGCCTGGGTCCACCAATGTTTGGGGCCGGGTCTCTGCCCCAGCCCCGCCTGCTGCCCCCATGGGCCTCCCCTGGAGCGCCCCCGGCCCCGCCAGCTGCTCCGCGCAGTGCTCCCTCACCGGCCGCTGCTGGCTACAACACAGGGACCGGCGCGGGCGGCAGGCTGAGGTGGCCGCTGCGGCTGCGGAGGGGGGAGAGGAGGAGGTGCACATGTGATGGCAGCACCCCCCCCGGCACCTACTGGGAGACGACTCCAATGCCGAGGAGGCTTCCTGGAGTCTGGACCTGAGCAGCTGGGGCATGGGTCTGTGTTGGACTCGTGCCCCCGCCCGCAGTCACCTCTCCTATCCCACGCTTGGCAAGGAGATGCCCCATCCCCCACCCCCAGTGATGCTATGGTGAGGGGCAGCAGCAGGGGAGGAGGTGCACACGTGACCGCAGCCCCCCCCCCCCCCGCCTTCTGTCACCCACCAAAGGGAGGCGAGGGGGTTCCTGGACCTGAGCAGCTGGGGCTTGGGTGAGTGTCGTCACACCCTGGCCTCCCCCCCTCCGCAGTTACCACTCCTGCCCCAGGCTGGGCAAGGGGCAGCCCCATCCCCCACTGGACAACAACGAAAAGTGTTTGCTGCCTCCTGAAGAACATCGCAAAAGAAGGGGCGACATTTTGTTTTAATTTTAGAAAGTCTTTGCTTTTGAGGGCTATTGATCCAAGAGTGCTGGGTTGTTTCTCTATTCAAAAGAGTATGAATAAAGTTGATATTCTTAGTTAAATACATATTTCTTATGACAGTGATATTGTGGAATAGAGGGAAACTGTTAAAGGCTTCCTGTTTCCAGTCCACTTTTACATTATTTTTAAAAAAATATATATCGGCTTACAAGGCAGGTGTGAACGTCCCATCGGCTCCACTCTGCATCTTTAGGAGCCTAAATAACTTTGCAAATGTGGCACAGAGACTAAGGAGCAGATTTTAGAAGGTCTGTAGACACCTAAAGATGTAGCTTGGCATCTAGTGGGATTTTCAAAAGCACTTAGGTTCCTAATTCCCATTGGAAGCGAGGTGCCCAGGCACCTTTGAAATTTCCCCAGAATCACTCGGCCAGCTCACCACAGGCTGCTTCCCCCACACAGGGTCCCACCTGGGCACTTACAATTTTTGGCATCAACTTTTTTTTATTATTGTGTCAAATTCAGAAAATTGCAGAATGTTCTAGGGGAGGAGACCTAAGTCCCCTCATTTTAAAGCCTCCCCCACAGCCTCTCAGAGAAGCCCAGTGGGGTCGGCTCCAGGCCTGGCTTGGGGGGATTCCCAGGTCCCCTCAGGACCAATAACTGCATGGTCTGACTCCCAAAGACAAGCCGAGCCCAGGATCCCAGTGAGTGTGATGGGGCCAGTGAGCAACAGGGAATGTCCCGGCATTTACTGCCCGAGGGACTCATTGTCCATGGCGAGGAGTGAAACAGCCACGGGGGCCAAGAGTGAGAGCGCCAGGCCCTGCTGTACGGACTGCTTTGTGCTGCCAACTTAGCTGTGTCAGGGAAACTGGTCCCAGCGCGATGGAGGGAGGGGTGGGGACGGGGAGTAGGGACAGCTGGGGAAGGGAAGTCGGTAGCTGGGCCAGGGGAATGGGAGGGAGAGCCCAGACCCAGGGTTGTGTGAGCGAGGGGCCCAGGATGGGCAAATGGGACCTGGGAGCCCAGGAAGCTCTTCAACCCTCTCCCCACCTCAGCCTCTCACCTAGCCTATACCCCACCCTATATGCTTTTAACTTTGCACCTGCCTCCATGCCTGGACGCCCACCCTGACCTATTGCCCTGGGCCTGCAGACTTCTCCTTCCATACACCCATTAGTGAGCCCCTGAGCCCAGCCCTGCTTGGAAGCACCCAGGGCAGGGACCATACAACATGCCCAGGGCACTGAGGGGGCTACAGAAATAATACAGAATAATAGTAACACCAGTAATTCTTCACGCAGAGCAAAGGCATAAATAAAAGGCAAGAGACCAAGACCGGGTGAGGCAGCGGCCAGGGGAGGACAGAAAGGCTGAAAGCAGAGCTGGGGAAATCATGTGCAGAATGTGACGTGTCCAGTGAGCTCAGCTTCTGTTCCCCTTTGTCAGCTGCCCACAAACTGATCACAATTTTCTCACATTTATTTGTTCAAATACTACATTTGTCAAATACATTGATTTCTGTGGAGTCAGTTATGATTGGACACACAGGTCACATGGGATTGTTTCTGTTTCTTGATTGGCTGAATTTAACTCTTAGAAACAAGGTTTTGGTGCAAATATTTGGGATTCATGCTTTGGTGGGGTTCCTTGCCTGCTGAAAGTTATACACATACTTAAGGACCTTGTTGGGTCAGGGCCTAAATGTTCAGACATTGCTTCCCAGGAATATTTTATAACATTTAGTAGAAATCCTTTGTTTGCATGGACATTCCTGCCAGCAAGCGCCGTCGATGGAATATGCATGCGATGAATGCAGAAGGGGCAGGAGCTAAAGGGAATTCATGGGGAGTCAGGCACCTAACTCATGCAGGCACTTTTGAAAGTCCCACTAGGCTCCAGTCTGCATCTTTAGGAGCCTAAATAGCTTTGCAAATCTGGCACAGAGACTAAGGGGCAAAGTTTGGAATGTCCGTAGTCACCTAAGGATGTAGTTGGCATCTAGTGGGATTTTCAAAAGCACCTAGGTGCCTAACTCCCATTGGAAGCTAAGTGCCCAGGCATCTTTGAAAATTCTACTAGGCGCCTATCTGCATCTTGAGACACTAAAACACCTTGGAAACTCTGGGCCTAGGTGACTTGCCTAAGGCCACACAGGGAGTCTGTAGCGGAGCAGGGAATTATGCACCTTACCCTGGAACTCCCTTCAGAGCCGCACCTGAAGCGTCTCAGATCCCCTGAGCTCGGTCAGCACAGGCAGCGGGGTGTTTAATGACTTTTCCCTGTCAGTGTGTTCTGGGGCACACAGGCTCCGCGTCGCTGGTGCCCTGACTCAGGGCCCGTCTGTCAGATAATAGTTCAATGATGTGCAATAAAAAAAGGAGACTCTCACCTCAGAGGCTCCCCTCTGCAGCTCAATAAACTGTTACCCTTTGTACCCCCTGCTCGCCACCTGCACCTTTCTGCTGCTGTTACCAAAGGTCGTCATCTCAGCAGGATCATGAACGA